ACACACACACACACACACACACACACACACTGGAATATTAGCCATAAAGAAAAGAGTGAGATCTTGCTGTTTGTGGCAACATGAATGAGGTGACCTAGTGGGTATTATGCCAAGTGAAATAAGTTAAAGACAAATACTGTACAATTTTACTTATATGTGGAATCTGAAAAACAAACACAACAAAACAGAAACAGGCTCATGGATACAGGAAACTATTAGTTACCCAAGTGGGGAGGAGCTGAGGAGTGGGCCAAAGAGGTGAAGGGGGGATTAAGAGGTACAAATTTCCAGTTATAAAATAAGTCACAGGGATGCAATCTATAGCAGAGGGAATATAATCAGCAATACTGTAATAACTTTGGTGACAGATGGTAACTAGATATTGGGATATATTTGTAATGTATAAAAATATTGAATCACTATGATGTACACCTGAAACTAAGAGGATACTGCATGCCAATTATATTTCAATTTTAAAAAAGTTATAAAAGATTAAGAAGGATATCATATGTTGAAAACAGGTTTACTATGGAGAGAAGATATAACAATTATAAATATGTACATACCTAACAGTATAGTACCAACATACATGGAGTAAAAATTGGGCAGAATCGAAGAGAAAAACTTGTTCTACAATAATGGGTATAGACTTCAATACCCAACTTTCTATAAGGGTAGAGCAGCCAGACAGGAGAGCAAACTTGAACTACACTATATATCAGCTGCAACTAATACACACACACACACACACACACACACACACACACACCACTGCCCAACAACAGCAAAATATATATTTCACCCAAGTGTGCCTAAAACATTTTCTAGCATAGACCATATATTAGGCCACAAGTAAGTCTTAATGAATTTGAAATGATTGAAATGATACAAAGTAACTTCTGATCACAGTGGAATGAACTAGAACAGCAAAAGGAACTCCAGAAAATTCACATATATGTGGAAATTAAGTAGCACACTCAAACAGCCATTCTATCAAAGAAGAAAAATCACAAGAGAAAGTATAAAATACATTGAGACAAATGGAAGTGAAAACTAGACATACTAAAATTATGGGATACAGTAAAAGCAATGCTTAGAGGGAATTTCATAGCTATAGATGCATCATGTAAAAAATAGATCTAAAATCAGCAACCTAATTAAACAATTTAAGAAGAGCAAACAACCAAGCTAGAAGAAGGAAGGAAATAATAAAGGTTAGAGCAAAGATGAGATAAAATAGAGAACAGAAAAATGATAGAGAAGTCAACAAAACTTAAAGCTGGTTCCTTAAAAAGATCAACAAAATTGACAAACCCTTATCTAGATTAACAAAAAACTCAAATTACTAAAATCAGAAATGAACTTGGAGACATTACTGTCCTTTTTTTTTTTTAAAGTAAGAAGGGTTATAAGGGAATGCTTGCATAAGAGAATAGCTGTATGCCAACAAATTGGCTACCCAAGGTGAAATGGATAAATTTCTAGAAATGCACAATCTATCTAAACTGACTCAGGAAAGAACAAATTCTTAATAGACCTAGAAATACTGTAGATATTAAATCAATAATAAAAAAAAACCCTCCCAACATAGAACAGCTCACAACCAGATGGATTTACTTGTTAATTCTACCAAACATATAAAGAAGAGTTAACAAAATCTTTCTCTATTCCGAAATATTAAAGAAGACACTTCCTAACTCATTCTATGAGGACAGCATTACTTTGATACCAGAGGTCCCAGACAAAAACACTGCAAGAAAAGAAAACTATAGGCTAATATCCCTTATGAGCACAGATGCAAAAAGCTTCACCAAAATATGTCCAAAGCTAATTCAGCGTATTAAAAGGGTTGTACTTCTTAAGCAAGTGAGGTTTACTCCCAGAATGCAAGAATGTTTCAACATATTAAAATCAATTCTGTAACATACCACATTAGGAGAATGCAGGATGAAACCATATGATTATCTCAACCAATGCAGAAAAAGCATGTGACAAAACTGAACCCCCTTTCATGAAAAAACACTCAGCAAACTAGGAATAGAAGGGAACTTCCCAACATGATTAAGGTCATATATGAAAAATTGAGACTAACATGAGTGTTAGTGGTGAAAGAATGGATGCTTTTTTTCTGAAGAACATGAAATCTGAGATAAGGATGTCAGCTTTTGCCACTTCTGTTCAACACAGTACTGGTAGTTCTACCTAAGATAATTAGGCAGAAAAAGAAAAGACATCCTATTGGAAAAGAAGTAAAATGATCTCTTCACTGAAGACATTCTCTCATATCCATAAAACCTTAAAATCCACACACATAAAAAAAGTCAGAGCTAAGAAATAAATTTAGCAAAGTTGAAGGATACAAAATCAATCTAGAAAAAGTCAGTTTTATTTCAGTATATTTTCAAAAACTATCCAAACAGGAAATATATATATTTTTAAGTTCTAATAAAATAAAATCCAAAGAATAAATTCCAATAAAAATTCCAATTTATAATAGCATCTAAAAGAATAAAACACTCAGCAATGAATTAACCAAGGAGGCAAAAGACTTGTTCACTGACAACTATAAAATACTCCGGAAATTAAAGAAGACCTAAGTATATGGAAAGACTTTGCATGCTTATGGACTGGAAGACTTAGTATTGCTAAGATGACAGTACTACCCAAAGTGATCTATAGATTCAAATCAATCCCCATCAAAATACTTTTCATACCTTTTTTTTTCTTTTTTTACAGAAATAGAAGAGACTATCCTAAAATTCATTCGGAATATCACAGGATCTTGAGTCTTACAAAACAACAAGTTTGGAGGAATCACACTGCTTGATTTCAATACTTAGTACCAAGCTACAAACAGTGGCAAAATAGGTTCTCACTGACATAAGGATAAATATATAGATCAATGGAATAGAACTGAGAGCCTGAGAAGAAAGCCTCACATATATGGTCAGTTGATTTTTGACAGGGGTGCCAAGACCATTCAACTGGAAAAGGATAGTCCATACAATGGTGCTTGGACAACTGGACACCCACACTAAAAGAACGTGTGAAATAAATTAAAAATTAGGAAGTCTGAAGAAATAAGAGATACAGTGAATAAGTATATGGAAATTTCAGAACTGAAAAATACATACCTGAAAGATAAAACTCAGTAGGTGGGCTTACTAGCAGGTTAGAGGTAACAGAAAAATCAGTGAACTAGAAGATAGAACAATAGAAATTAGCCAATCTGCACAACAGGGAGAAAATATACTGGGAAAAAATAATGAACAGAGCCTCAAAAACTGTGGGAATATAACAAAATATCTAACATTTGTGTCACTGTAGTTCTGGAAAAAGAAGTGAAGGTAGGCAGAGGCTGAAAAAATATTAGAAGAATTAATGGCTGAAAACTTCCCAAATTTGGCAACAGATGTAAACCTACAGATTCAAAAAGCTTGAACATCGGCCAAACGTGACAAACCCAAAATGAAGGAAACATCTTGAAAGCAGCCAAAGAAAATGCATTTCTTATAAGGAAAAAACTATTGGGAATGGTAGTAGATGTCTCATCAAAAACCACAGAAGTTAGATGGAAGTGGTGTGATGTTCTTTAGGTGCTGGAAGAAAGGAACTGTCAATCCCAAGTCCTGTACCAAATGAAAATATCTTTCAGGAATGAAGGGAAAATCTGGACATTCTCAGATGGAGGAAAACAATTTGTCTCCAGGAGCGTGGATAGAGGCAATTTTATAAGCAAGGAAACAATAAAAGAGGGAACCTTGGAGCATTTGTGTGCAGTAAAGAGTTAACATAACAGGCTTGAGACTGCTATTCTTAGGAAATCCTGCTTGGGCTGACATTGGGATCTTGCATTTCTGGAGGGTTAGCACCATTCTCAGAACTGATAAGAATGGTTCACTGTGCCTAAAAGTATGCAAACCGTAGGGTTTGTGCTGAAAGTGCCTGTGTGACCAGTCCCCACTAAAAAAGTTTGGCACTGAGCCTCTAATGAGCTTCCTTGTTAGATAACATTTAACACACGTTATCACAAGTCCTTGGTGGAGGAGTTAAGTGGGTCATGTGTTACTCTCCTGGGAGAGGATTCTTGGAAGCTTGTACCTGGTTTCCTTTGGACTTTGTCTCTTGTACCATTTCTCTTTTGCTTTGTATCCCTTTGTACCCATGTGTACAACTATATGATGAGTCTTACAAGTCCTAGTGAATATCAAACCTGGGGGTGGTCTTGGGGACCCCTGACACAATCAAGAAGAAAGAAAACATAGGAAAAATAGGGGTAAATATAGGAGGCACTCCTCTTACACATGAATTTTCCAAACTAATTTTGATGGTTGAAGCAAAAATTATTACACAGTCTGATGTGATTCTAAATATGAAGAAAGGAACTACTTAAAATTACCAGAAGGGCAAGAAGATGTAATGGGAGGTGAAGTTTCTTTACTTCATTAAGCTGGAAAATGAAGATACCAGTAGACTGATTAGTTATAATGTAGCTCCGAGAGTAACCACTAAAAATGCTGTACACACACAGAAATCCCCAAAATGTGGAGGTGTGGGAAAACCAGAGATAAAGGAATAAACTGGACCACCCTGCCCTAGGACCTCGCTGCCCTAGGCGTGGGGGGTGGGTGTCTTTTTTATGATAATCACCTATGACCAACAAAGAATAACCAGACCCTAAAAAAAAAGTAAGCTATTGAAGGTGTTATCACTAGTCCTTGCTCAATGGTGGTATCAGTAGAAATGTTCAAAGGATTTAAGTTCCCTGGTTAGCTTTCCATAAAAGATTAAGCCTAAAGGCCCTTGTTGGGAACCCTGTCAGGACCCCTCTCACTCTTGAGAGCTTTTTCTATATCTTCATTTAATAAACTTCTATCGCTTTACACACACACACACACACACACACACACACAAATGCTATACAAAGAAATACACAGAAAGCACTGGATAAATCAAAATAGAATTCTAAAAAAAAAGTCCAAGTAACCCAAAAGAAGTCAGTAAAAGAAAACGAAGCAAAAAGAAAATGATCTAAAGACACCAACCAAAAGAGACAGACTGGCATAGTAGACTAAGAAAAAAAAGAAAAAAAAACCCCTATATTCTGTCTAAATGAAACTTAAGATATTATCACATACGCAAGTTAAAAGGATAAAAAGAAACATGCAAACATTAATCAAAGGAAAGGTGGAGTGGCTTTATTAAATCAAGTAAGGTAGATTTGAGAGCAAGGAAAGTTACCAGACACAGAATGATAAAATGGTCAATTCCAGGAAGACAGTGATCCTTCATATATATGCATCACATAACAGTTTCACCATTTGTGAAGAGAAAACTCAAAGAAGAAATAGACAAATCAACTGGGAGACTTCAACACCCATCTCACAATGATGGAAATACTAGATCCCAAATCAGTAAGTTTGTCATTACTATGAACCACAGAATCCAATCTTTACAGAACACTTTACCCAACAATAGCAGAATACATATTCTTTTCAGATGCTCACAAAAACATACACCAAGATAGACATATCCTGAGCCATAAAACATAAGAATTTATTTACCTTAACAAATGTAAAGAACTGATACAGGTGTGTTCTCTGACCACAGTGAAATCAAAATTGAAATCAGTAAGAGAAAGTTGACAGAAAAGTCTGTAACACTTACAAATTAACTACACGCTTTTAAATAATACATGCATCAAAAATGAAGTTTCAAGGGAAATAAAAACATACATGAAAGAGAATGGAGAGGAAAATACAATATATCAAAGTATGTGGAATACAGCAAAAGCAGTCCTGAGAGGAAAACCTGTGGCACTGAACATGTGTGTTAGAAAAGAGGAGTCTCAAGTCAATAAGCTTCCACCTCAGGAACCTAGAAAAATAAGAGCAAAATAAACCCAGAGGAAGCAAATAGAAGGAAATAATAGTGATAAAAGCAGAAATCAGTGAAACTGAAAATAAATAGAATAGAGAAAATCAGTTAAAGAGCTACTCTTCTGAAAACAATAACATTGAAACAACCCCTAACAATACTAAGAAAAAAAAGTAGACACAAATCACCATATCAAGAATGAAACAAAGGGACACCTGGGTGGCTCAGCTGATTAAGCGTCTGCCTTTGGCTCAGGTCATGATCCCGGAGTCCTAGGATCGAGTCCCGTGTTGGGCTCCCTGCTCAGCAGGGAGTCTGCTTCTCCCCCATCTCATGCTCTCTCTCTCAAATAAATAAAATCTTAAAAAAGAATGAAACAAAGGCTATCACTACATACTCTGAAACCACCAAAAGAATATTCACCTGTAAATCTCACAACTTAGACAAAATGAACTGCTTCCTTGAAAAACACAAACTACCAAAACCCACCCAATTTGGAATAATTTGAACAGCTCTGTAACTATCAAGGAAGTCTACTTTGCAATCTAAAAATTCCTACAGAAGAACTCTATGGGCCCAGGTGTTTTTACTGTGGAATTCTGCCAAATCTTTAAAGAGGACTTAACACCAGTGCTACATGATTTCCTCCAGAAAATAGAAGAGTAAACACTTCCCAGTTCGTTCTATGGAGAAGGTATTAGGTTGATATCAAAATAATTATGTGCTATTACCAAGTACAATTTACTTTAGGAATGCAAGACTAGTTCCATATTTGAAACTTAGTGTAATCCACCATATTAACAGATTAAAAAGAAAAACCACATGATTGTATCATTTGATGCAATAAAAGCATTTATTTCAGAGAATTCAATAACCATGGTGGAAAAAAAAAGTCTTAGAACAAAAGGAATTCAGGGGAACTCTATTTGAGTAGGGACATCTACCAAAAAAAAAATCTATATCTAACATTTTTTTTTCCTCAGTAAGGCCTTTCTTGGCCACTTATCTAACATTTTTTTTTTATTGTTGATGTATACATAACATAAAATTTACTGTTTTAACCAATTTTAAATGTACACTTCGGTGGTAATAATCACACTGTTGTGAAACTGTCCCCATCTTCCATCTCCAGCACTGTTTCATCTTTGCAAACTGAAACTCTGTCCATTAAAAACTGACTCATTCCCCACTCCTCCCAACTCTTGGTAACCTCTATTTTACTTTGTCTCTAAGGTCTGTGTACCAGCTATAAGTGAAATCAAACACTCTTTGTCCTGTGACTGGCATATTTCAATTAGATAGTATTTTCAAGGCTAATTCTCGATGTAGAATATATCAGAATTTCCTTGCTTTTTATGGCTGAATATATGCTACGGTATGCATATAGCACATTTTCTTTTATCTGTTGAGGGACATTTGAGCTATTGTGAATAATGCCATTAAGGACTTTGGTGTACAAGTATAAAGTGGTAGATATAGCTAGGAGTGGAATTGCTGGGTCATAGGGTCAGCTGTACGTTTAATGTTTGAGGAGCTGCTGGACTCTTCCACAGAAACAACACCATTTTACATTTCCCACCAAAAATGCACAAAGGTTCCAGTGTCTCCCCACACCCTGCCAGAACTTGTTCTTTCCCTTTCCTTTGGTAATATCTATCCCAGTGGGTATGGCACGGCATCTCATTGTGGAATAGTATTCTTAATGCTGTGAGACGTAACACTTTCCTCCTATGTGAAGAATAAAGCAAGGATGTCTGCTTTCACCACTCATTCTTTAGTATGCTAGAAGTAATGTAATAAAGCAAGAAGACGAAAGAGAAAGCATACAGATTTATATAAGGGAAGAAATAAATCTGTTCCTATATGCAGATGCCATGCTTGTCTATGTAGAAAATCTCAAGGAATCTAGGAGGGAAAAAAATCATAGAACTAAGTGAGTTCAGCCAGGCTGCAGGATTAAGGTAAACATAGAGACAATTGTATCTCTATGTCCTAGCAATGAACACAGTGTCGCTGAAATTAAAAATATAATACCATTAGAAGTACTTAAAGAAGTTCTTAGGTGTCAATCTAAAAAAAAAATATGGATTTTTTTTTAAAGATTTTATTTATTTGAGAGAATGAGAGAGCACGAGAGGGGGAGGGTCAGAGGGAGAAGCAGATTCCCCGCTGAGTAGGGAGCCCGATGCGGGACTCGATCCCAGGACTTCAGGATCATGACCTGAGCTGAAGGCAGTTGCTTAAACTACTGAGCCACCCAGGTGCCCAAACATATATGGATTTGTATGCTGAAAACCACAAAATGCTGATGAAAGAAATTAGAGAACATCTCAGTAAATGGAGAGACATACCGTGTTCGTGGATTTGAAGAGTCAACATAGTAAAGATGTTAGGTCTCCTCAAATTGATATAAAGGTTTAATGCAGGGCGCCTGGGTGGCTCAGATGGTTAAGCGTCTGCCTTCGGCTCAGGTCATGATCCCAGGGTCCTGGGATCGAGTCCCGCATCGGGCTCCCTGCTCCTTGGAAGCCTGCTTCTCCCTCTGCCTCTCTCTCTCTCTCTCTCTCTGTCTCTCATGAATAAATAAATAAAATCTTTAAAAAAAAAAAAGGTTTAATGCAAATCTTATCAAAATTCCAACAAGGTTTTTTTGTTAGATATAAAGATTCTAAAATTTATATGGAAAGGACATGTCTTAGAATAGCTAAAATAACCTTTAAAATGAAGAATAATGTGGGAGGAATCGGTCTAGCTGATTTCAAGACTTAATCTATAGGTAATCAAAACTGTGTTTTTGACAGCATCATAGACATAAGATCAAGAGAAGAAAGGAGAGGACCCCTAATTAGACCCATGAGCAATGTGAAAAGGGGATTAATAGTCTTGAACACATGGCACTAGAGTTTGGGTTAAAAGCAGGATCCGTGAATCTCACCAGAGTGCCCCACACCAGCATTCTTCCTGATTTGGCCCTGGTTAGTGGCTTAGGTTAGGTTGACTAGTGCATGTGGCTGGCTTCTGGGTGAACCGGAATGTGTTTGTGTTTCAGGCATTAATGGCCTTCAGGGATGTGGCTGTGGCCTTCACTCAGAAGGAGTGGAAGTTACTGAGTCCTGCTCAGAGGACCCTGTATCGGGATGTAATGCTGGAGAACTACAGCCACTTGGTGTCACTGGGTAAGGACGGCTTGTCTCAGGTCTCAGACTGCCTGTGGGCACCTTAAGATTTTATGTAACAGCCACCATGCTTTTGGCTCAGAAAGAAAAATAGTATTTTCTCTATATCCCCAGAGAATGTGTGGATTCTGTAGAGTTGAAAGAGTGAAGGTGTATTTGGGAGGGTATGGTCTGACACTGAATTGCCAGGCCTTTTCTGAGGCTGGGTCCCTCCTCCAAAGTGATTTTACCTCAAATTTGGGAATACTAGTATGCACTTAACCACAGAGGAGAATTAGTGTACTGCCTTTAGATCCGGGATCCCCCCTCCCTTTAGTCATCATTTCTCAGCACTCAGCCTTTGCGCACCCCCCTGCTTCCCTGCCCCCTTTTGGGTTATTGCATTCGCCTGTTGACTGAGTTCTGCCATAGCCTCTTAAACCACTAACCCAGGGTCCCCTTGGTTTCTTTCCCTGTGAGTAGGAATTGCCTTTTCCAAACCCAAACTCATCACACAGCTGGAGCAAGGGGATGAGCCCTGGAGAGAGGAGAGTGAATGTCTTCTGGACCTTTGTCCAGGTGAGTGGGAAGCAGTGGGCAGACGAGGAGACTGGGCAGTGAGGCGCTCAGCAGATGAGGAAGGCGAGCCCATGAACTTCTGGGGAGGGCTTTTCTCCAGGCCTTCCTTCCATGCCATCCCGCTCACCCAGAGAGGGCTTCCCTGGCAGCCTCATTCCACTCTCCACTGGTATCTCTTTTCCAGCACCTTTTATCTCCCTGTTCTTGGGCTTTTGTTGGTTGGCCTAATATTCTGCATAGCATTTGCCCTCGGAGACTAAGTCTGCTGCCCTTGAGAGACACTGTCCAGTTTCTGTTCTTAACCTGGTAACTTCTTAGTGCAGCGGTTCTACCCCATAAATCCCCATAACCTTGTTTCTTTTATGATGAATTATTTAAGATTACAACAGGATGTGTAGAACTGTATGATGAGTGACTGTTGTGTACCTTCCCTGTGGTCTAAGAAACAGACCTTAGAGACCAGAAAACAGTCCCTGCACCTTCCCTGGTGCGTCCTGCTTCTCCACCGTACCTGAGAATCCAGCTTCTGCATTAGCTTATTCTCATTGTGCCTCGATCCTTTTTTCCCATCCGATGGTTCCTTCAACCATATAGTGTTGTTTTGCATGTTTATAAACTTCCTTGTATATAGTATTGTAATGTACACATCCTTCTGGAAAATGCTTTTTTACCGACTTTATGTGAGAATCATGTTAAAATGTGTAGATTTAGTTTATACTTTTAAAAACTTATACTGATTCCATTATATGAATATTTCTATTTAAATGCAGTTGAATTATCAGTTCCCTTCTTTTGGACATTTATTTCCAATTTTTGGTTATTAAATGATGCCACTATATATTCTTGTTACTTCCGTGGAAACAAGGGCAAGTTTCTCCAGGACGCATACCTAGGAGCACAGTAGCTGGTCGTTAGGCTCGGGTAGCCTAAGAGGTTCTTGTTCCACATCCTCACCAATACTAGGTATTGTCGTACCTCGTTTTCCACTCATCTCTTCCCTTTGCAGTGAAACCTCAGAGGGGCTTTGCTTTTCAGGGAGCAGGAGTATCTTTTCCTATGTTGTTTGGCCATTGGTATTAACTCTTCGGTGATTTGTCTGTTCAAAGAGTTTCCCTGCTTTTCATTTGGGTTGTTTCTGTTACTGATTGTAGAAATTCCATATAAATTCAGAGAACATTCACATCTTTAATGCAATGGGAATTAATTTTATGTGAATGTCTAGAGGTAAGAATACAAAATTTTTTTCCTGATTTATCTTTTTTATTCTTTTATTTTTAACATTCCTGGCGTTTTATTTTGTTTCTAAATACAACCATGTATCTGGACTTGTGCTTTATACCTAACTCAGGGCTTTTGTCTTTAAGGGGAACTATTATATGAGCTATAATTATGGTGTAACATAAAAATATGGTATAAGGTATTACAGTGTAATAGTTAAGGGATAATTATGAGATATATTATCAAAATATAATAGACTACACATATTTATTTATTTGAGAGAAAGAGAGAACGAGAGAGAGTGAACATGAACAGGGGTGAAGGGGGGCAGAGAGAGCAGCAGACTCCCTGCTGAGCAGGGAGCCTGATGTGGGGCTTGTCCCAGGACCTTGGGATCATGACCTAAGCCAAAGGCAGATGCTTAACTAAGCCACCCAGCACCCCTAGACTACACATATTTAAAGCATAAAATGTATAAAGTTTTGATATATGTACACCACTATGAAACCATTGCCACAATCCAAATACCAAGCATACCTATAACCCCGAAGTTTCCTTGTGCCTTATTATAATCCCTGTCTCCTGTCCGTCCCTGTCTTACGCGCCTCTCCTCCTCCTCCCTATACCCAGGTAACCACTGATCTGCTTTCTATCATTATAGATTTGTTCACATTTTCTAGAATTAATATAAATTGAACAATACAGAATATATACCAGATTCTTTCACTCAATGTAGTTATTTTGAATTTCATCCATAATGTGTATATCATAGTTCATTTCTTTTTATTGCTGAATAGTATTCCATTATATAGATACCGCAATTTAACAATTCATCTATTGAAAGACATTTGAGTAGTCTCCAGTTTTGACAAATACAAGTAAAATAAGTGTGAACACTCATGACAAGTCTTTCATTACTTTTGGATAAATACTTAGGACTGGAAAGGCTGGGTTGTAGGATACAGTGTATATTTAGCTTTTTACAGAACTCAAAAACTGTTTTCCAAACTGGCTATACCATTCACATTCCCACCAGCAGGGTATGAGGGTTCCAGATGCTCCACATCTTTTTCAAAACTTGGTATTGTTATTTTAATTTTGGGCATTCACATAGCTGTGTCGTGGCATCTGTGTTTTCCTTGACATTTACCTAGTGACTGATGATGTTGAGAATCTTTTCATGGGCTTATTAGCATCTGTATATATCTTTGGAGAAATGTATTCTTGAATCATTTGCCCATTTAACAATTTGGTTTCTTTTTTTTTTTTTTTTTTATGACGTTATGTTAGTCACCATACAATACATCATTACTTTTTGATGTACTGATCCACGATCCATTGTTTTCGTATAACACCCAGTGCTCCATGCAGTACGTACCCTCCTTAATACCCATCACCAGGCTAACCCATTCCTCCACCCCTGTCGCCTCTAAAACCCTGTTTGTTTCTCAGAGTCCATAGTCTCTCATGGTTCATCTCTCCCTCCGATTTCCCCCCCTTCATTTTTCCCTTCCTTCTAATGTCCTCCATGCTGTTCCTTATGTTTCACAGATAAGTGAAACCGTATGATAATTGACTTTCTCTGCTTGACTTACTTCACTTAGCATGATCTCCTCCAGTCCCATCCATGTTGATGCAAAAGTTGGGTATTCATCCTTTCTGATGACTGAGTAATATTCCATTGTATATATGGACCACATCTTCTTTATCCGTTCATCTGTAGAAAGGCATCTTGACTCTTTCCACAGTTTGGCCACTGTGGACATTCCTGCTATGAACATTGGGGTGCATATGGCCCTTCTTTTCACTACATCTGTGTCTATGGGGTAAATACCTAGTACTGCAATTGCTGGGTCATAGGGTAGCTCTATATTTAATTTTTTGAGGCACCTCCACCCTGTTTTCCAAAGTGGCCGTACCAACTTGCATTCCCACCAGCAGTGTAAGAGGGTTCCCCTTTCTCCACAACCTCACCAACTTCTGTTGTTTCTTGCCTTGTCAGTTTTTGCCACTCTAACTGGTGTAAGGTGGTATCTCAGTGTGGTTTGGATTTGAATTTCCCTGATGACTAATGATGATGAACATTTTTTTCATGTGTCTGTTAGCCATTTGTATGTCTTCTTCGGAGAAGTGTCTGTTCATGTCTTCTGCCCATTTTTTGACTTGACTTTTTGTTTTTTGGGTGTTGAGTTTGAGAAATTTTTTATAGATCTTGGATACCAGCCCTTTATCTGAGGTGTCATTTGCAAATATCTTCTTCCATTCTGTGCATTGCCAATTTGTTTTGTTGATGGTTTCCTTTGCTGTGCAGAAGCTTTTTATCTTGATGAAGTTCCAAAAGTTCATTTTTGCTTTTGTTTCACTAATCTTTGGAGATGAATTTTGAAAGAAGTTGCTGTGGGCAATGTCAAAGAGGTTACTGCCTGTGTTCTCCTCTAGGATTTTGATGGATTCCTGTCTCACATTGAGGTCTTTCGTCCATTTTGAGCTTATCTTTGTGTATGCTGTTAGAGAATGGTCGAGCTTTATTCCTCTATATATAGCTGTCCAATTTTCCCAGCACTGTTTATTGGAGAGACTTTTTTCCATTGCATATTTTTTCCTGCTTTGTCGAAGATTATCTGACCATGGAATTGAGGGTCCATATCTAGGCTCTCTATTATGTTCCATTGTGTATATGTCTGTTTTTGTGCCAGTACCATGCTGTCTTGGTGATCACTGTTTTGTAATATAGCTTGAAATCGGGCAAGGTCATGCCTCCAGCTTTTACTTTTTCAGGATTTCCTTGGCAATTCGGGGTCTTTTCTGATTCCATACAAATTTTAGGATTGTTTGTTTCAGCACTTTGAAAAATGTCATTGTAATTTTGATCGGGATGGTATTAAAGGTATAGATTGCTCTGGGTAGCATAGACATTTTAACAATGTTTATTCTTCTGATCCATGAGCATGGAATATTTTTCCATCTTTTTGTGTCTTCTTCAGTTTCTTTCATGAGTGCTCTGTATTTCCTAGAGTATAGATCCTAACCTCTTTGGTAAGGTTTATTCCCAGGTTATCTCATGGTTTTTGGTGCTATTGTAAATGGAATCGTTTCTCTAATTTCTCTTTCTACAGTTGCATTGTTAGTGTATAGAAAAGCGACTGACTTCTGTGCATTGATTTTGTATCCTGCCACATAACTGAATTGCTGTATGAGTTCTAGTAATTTGGGGGTGGAGTCTTTTGGGTTTTCCACCTCAAGTATCATGTCGTCTGCGAAGAGAGAGAGTTTGGCAAAGGCCAATCTGAATACCTTTTATTTCTTTTTGTTGTCTGATTGCTGTTGCTAGGACTTCTAGTACTATGTTGAACAACAGTGGTGAGAGTGGGCATCCTTGATGTGTTCCTGATCTTAAGGGAAAGGCTCTCATCTTTTCCCCATTGAGGATGATATTCGCTGTGGGTTCTTCATAGATGGATTTTATGAACTTGAGAAATGTTCCCTCTATCCCTATACTCTGAAGAGTTTTAGTCAGGAAAGGATGCTGTATTTTGTCAAATGATTTTCTGCATCTATTGAGAGGACCATATGGTTCTTCTCTGTCCTCATTAATGTGTTCTGTCACATTGATTGATTTGCGAATGTTGAACCACCCTTGCATCCCGGGGATAAATCCCACTTGGTCATGGTGGATGATCCTTTTAATGTATTGTTGGACCCTATTAGCTAGGATTTTGTTGAGGATTTTGGAATCCATATTCATCAGGGATATCGGTCTGAAATTCTCCTTTTTGATGGGG